ATTTGATACTACTTTTGCGTCGCGCGGTTTAACTACCCGTGCGCTAATTGTGCCATAGTTATTTTGGTAAGCTACCGGCTAACCTATATCACACGCTGTAAAATATGTATTTGCCTATGCCTGCAAACATTAGTAAATCTATAAATATTGAATGATTCTATGATAGAAAATGGGATATTTAAAACAAAAACAAAAATAGAGCTGATTGTGTATTTACAACAGTCAAAGTCAAAGTCAAACAATCATTTATTCCATTGGTAAAATTTTTACACTTGAAAACGTCATTTTTAAGCTACTGCTCGATCACTACGCTGACCTCTTTTCAAATTTAAACTTAAATGCTATAGAATACATTTTGAATCATATCTGTGTGGAATCTAGACTCACGTTGCCTTTCCATACATCTTTATCTAACACGTAGTCTACAATATCGTAATATGACTTTTCAATTTAAATACTTTTAACGTAAGTTTTAAACTCAGGAAACTTAAACAGTTATAAAATCACACGAAACACGTGTCAAATATAAATCACAACTACATGATCATCGTAATAAATAGTAATTCTTATTTCAAGTTTCGTACGCGAAGACATTTAATGAGTTTTAAAAAGAAACGTCACCCTCAAAACTGGGTAAAGGTACACGTAACTCTGTCGAGGTTACTCTTAAAAAGGCGATACAAGTGTTCTTATTAAGAACGTAATGTGTTGGAGTCAAGGTATACGACCGGACAGCATGTACAGATTGAGCTCACTCGGAACAGACACTATAACCACTGTAACTTATCAGAAGCTCAATAAATTAATCACATAACAGTTAGGTGTCAATGCACTTCACTAGTTGCATAGAGAAGCGCGGGCGCACGACGGGAGCGCTACAGACTGAGGCTCTTCAGTGCACCCCAGAGGCGAACGGCCGGGTCACACCGAAAATAGCACCCGGTAGTGCAGGGATGCCCCGATGATGAATTCCGCAACGCCACCCAAAGTTTCTTTGTTCTTCAGACAACGCAAATAAAATGTCACAACTTTAGAAGTATCTATTTACGAGAAACTGTTCAAGTCAAATTTTATTGAAATAAGTCGTGAAGCAATTGGTTAATGGTTGCTTTTTCATTAATTAATTAATGAAAAAAGAGAAATGTTCTCTAAAACACGTATATAACGTGTGAAGGTGAAAATAAGAATAGTAAAAGACAAACATGCTACAGTCTTGCCAAATATTGGAACAGTGGCAGATCCAGAAACTGAGAAAACTTGGAGCTATGCCAACTGCGGGCTAGACTGTAAACGTTTGGAACATACTGAATAACATTTAGGTGACTATGTGTGAATATACACAATATACAACTACATTGTAGAGGCTTGTTACACTTTACTCAAGTCGTGACGTACGAATACATTTCTTTAAAAAAATATATATATAATATGAAATATGTTAACATGAAACAGTCATACAAGTAAAAGTCAAGTATTTTTTAAAGAAATTGTGCATTTACACAGTAAATGCTCCTTTGTTGAAGTTGGTGAAAAATTCATTGATATTAAATCAACTCTTATATAAAAACATGCTAAAAACCTGAATAAAAGATTATAAACTAAACAAATAGAATTAAAAGCTATTAAAATTTATATTTGTAATACTGTGTTGTTGTTTTTCAACTTGTAAAAATGTTGTTCATGTGATTTTTGTTACATATGGCTGATTATAAAACATTACAATCAACATATAAATCATTACATTGACTTACTAAAGGATGAAGACAATATTAAAGCAATCGCAAAAGTAGTACAAAACTATTAAAACTAGGATCCAAGAAATGATGGATTTCAATTATTCCTTCCTATTATTGTTGTTATTAGACTATTGCCAATAGGTCATAATTTTCTCTCCTGCACTACCTGGGTTCCAATTCTACCAATACCACTGGTCATTGTAATTCCATTGACACTACACCCAGATCATTGCAATTATGATAAAATTTGTTATTCTGCTAAAATGTATCTGCAATGGCAGTTGGGTCTCAAAAGAGTGTCGGCATTCGTGGAATGGAGTGATGGCATTCGTTCATTCAATCAATCACTAACAACTGATGTTGCCTTACAAAATCCACTAAATTACTATGCATATCTTAATTTTAACTAGTTTAATCAGCAATTTAGTCTTAATAACGCACACACCCATAGCCCCGCACCCGCACTACCTGTGTAAGTCATTAAATATATATAATATTAATATTATACGCCAACGACTCGCCATTGAAGAGCAGGATACCGAAAAATTGCAATGGTAGTCGAATAGTAAGTCAATGGCTAACTACTGACAAGTCACAACCTTAACTTTTAGCAGAATACCAAAAGTACAAAATATTGTCATTGACACACAACTGACGTGATTTAAAATTAGCAGACTTAGGGTCCAGTTATACTATTTCATTAACTATTTAATAGCTTTTTCTGTTAGTTATAAGGTGTTTTGTTACTAACTTACTAACTTGTATGTTGTCTGAAAATAAATGATTTTTATTTATTTATTTTTAGTGGGGAATAAATAAGCAAAAGACGAAATCATGCAGAAAAATTAGACAATATCTTGCAAATCAATATTTTCCAAAATCCAAGCTTGAGAGTCCTTCAAGATTTATGGAAACATGTGAATAAACTTATCATTGAAAAACTCTTGCTTGCTTGAAAAAGCTTGGACTTTACAGTATGTCCCACTATACCACACCAAATACTATGTAAAAAAATTGCACTCGTCATTGACTTACAAATAAATGGACGACGGGTCTAATACAAAAACCACGAAAAAAATGTCCCAAGTCAACCTATTTAAACGTACCTAGTGACATGTAAAAGAATATGAAAAAGCTAAAACGTTGAATTTAAATTGTAATGTCATCGCAGTACTGTCTAATTTTGCTTGCTTCGCTGTCAGTCGAACAAACGAAAACTAAAGCGTGAATGACGCTCTGTATACGATTTTAACGCCCTATAAGTTCGGACACTTTTTAGCGCGGACCCGACGTCCATATAATTGTAAGTCAATGGCACTCGTAAAAAAATCATATTTTTTATTTCCATCTTTCTATCAAAGTGAAGGCCTTTTTAAAATGACTGGGCTGAGCACTATGGAGTTGGTAGTTATTGCGAGCAGTTATTGGAGATTATAAAAAAAATTCATGAAAAATTAGTTGATGTTATTTGCCAGTACGAAGTAATTCCTGATCTCTGTTGTAGCTCAAGCAATAAAAACTTTCAATCTGAAGTTTTTAATGACAGAATAAAAACGCTACATAGAAAGTTTTAATTTTATTTATTTATTCATTGTACTCATGTTACAAACACAAAATGTTCATTTGGATCCCACCCCGTAAGGACTCTGCAAGGTTTAACAATTTGAGAGAGGAACTTATAAATACATACATACCAATAATAAGGTACGAGCAACTATAACTTATACATTATATATCTTATGTAAATAAAAGAAGTAATGAAATTAAAATATGATGATGATGGAACTCTTGATTAAAATTATAGCATATTGTTTTTATCATATACTATGACAACAATAACAAACAAGGAAATAGCAACATTTCTAGTATTTTAAGTCTAAGTACATATCTGTAAAAAAATATTCAATAGCAAATTTTTTATCAGCATTTGTTTTAAATGTTTAAGAAATACTATGTATTATTAAATGCTTTTGATTTTAATTACATTTTATTGTAAATTTTTATAATATTTAAAATCAGGTACTAATTCTCCAGGGTATATGAAAAAATATCACAGAATTTTACTTTCATTTCTATTGAAGTGATAAGAAATGTGATAAAAATATTTCCACGTGTCTGATCCACTATTAACTAATACTTTACAGCACCACACTAGCTGAAACCTGCTAGGGCACCATAGTGTTATAAAACGAATATTCCTTCAACACTACGTACAACAGAAATAAATTACGTTATAATCCTTTCATTGGTCTTAAAATACTTATGCGATTGGTATAAAAAATGTGGTATAATGTGTAACAGAAATGTGGTGTATGAACAAAGAGTACCTATATAACGAAAAACGTTATGAAAATGTTAATATGTAGGCAATAAGAACATTTACGGCATAGTTTATTGAACGAAGTAGGGCGCAATTTATAAAGTAAGTACTTTACTAAAGCTACAACCAAAAAAGAGGATACCCCAGAAATCGAAAATTTTCGAAAGATGTTCATCACTACGCAGTTTGAATTTTTGTATAACAAAGAACTACAGTATGCCCTTTTAAAAACTATCCCTGAGCAGATGCATACGAAAATGGATTAATTTTAAATCCAATTCTTCCGATATAGCGTTGCTAACAAACAAAGGGCTTGTAAAAATATATTCATAACCTGACCACGGATAATTATGTTACCGATACATATATAATTAACAGAATACTCACATGACCAATCGGGATATTATTGCAGATATCATATTAAATGCTCACATATGAAAAATTCACCTAAATAATCACAAAAGTAAACATGACAAAACACAACCGTCCTGCGATACGTCTAATCCACCATGTTGAATCAACTGTCAAATTTTGGTCACGTGACACTTAGCAATCAATATAGCTTACATTGAGAATACCGCCATCTATAGATGCGATATGTACTAAATACATAATTATTAACAGCGCCCTCTGTTATCGAGAGGCAGTACTATGACGTAAACTACGTTGGTGAACATCTCTACATTACCCAACTAATTAAAAAAGTACTGTAAGAAGTAAAATAAAGCCTATTTTGATGACCACCACAATTCAGCAAGCCTATACTGACCTTAGCTATAACACAACAGAATTAAGGAGGGACTTGCACGCGCCAGCGTTAAGCTTCATTAACGCACATCCATATTAGTCGCTTAACTTATACGTTCCGTTTTTTGCGTCTTCCACGTAGTTTCTTTTCGCTTAACGAGGAGTGAGACGTGTAGTGCGTTTGAGCGCTGTGTTTCTTGACGTTTGTGAAGTTTTTTAATGTGAATAATGTGATTGTGTTGTTCGTTATGGCCTATAAATACCGTGAAGATTTAGTTGGCAAACGATTTCTCTCTGTGAGTGGTGTGACAAAAATTAACGTGAATAAAGTTTCCGAATGGGGATGGAAAGCTGGTGTTATCAGGGCAGCATCGCTCAAAGATAACAAGAATAAGGAGCTGCAGGTAAAGCTTTATTGACTTCTATGTAAAATGTTTGACAATTTAATTTATAGTTTCATTCATCATTCTCGTTACTTTTATATCGTTACGCAGAATTTCTCTTTTTAAACAAACGTCGATTTACTCTATTTAAGTTTCAGTCAACCTTAAACTTACTTAGGACACTTTTATTGGTATATACTGCTTGTCCACAGCCTATTTTGAATAGCCACAATATGTCATTGCCATAAGTGATAAATTGCAGTCAATGAAAATACGTAGGTATTGCCTTTCAGCACGTCCTGCATCCATTTAATTAATTAACCAAAACAGCCAATAGGATGTATATGATTTGATAATTGACCATTGACCTACCAACAAAATATGTCAAAGAAATTATGCATGATACGTACTTAATTTCTTTGCCAAATAGTCACAGTTTTACTCTTTTTTTCGTACGTACTATTTGATGAGGAATTTGAATATCTATTTTATACATTAAAATGAAACCCTGTAATTGCCTAAACTATATCTATGTAGGGCCTTAAATTCTAGCGTATAATTTATATGGGGAGGAAGGGGGAAAACGTGCGAAGGGCGGGAGAGTAAGAAAGGGCTCGCTAGGTAGTTAAAGTACAGTCGGAAGGGCTCTCGGCGGACCCTGGTACTCCGAGACCTACCCATTTAAGGACCCCTGAGGAGATCCTGGATGAATGAATACCTAGCAGTTATGTATTTTTATTTATTTCGACACCAAGTAGCTATGTATGTACATAGGTACCATCAGTTACATAATTATTACTCAATGGCACGGTTCGAAATTTATTCATTCGAAAAGTATTCTTTTTTTTCATAATTATCCGATAATATTATTATTATTATTCATACCTTTTTCTCTTTAATTTTTCACTAGCTGTGTCAGTTATAATTTATTAAAAAGAACACAAAGAAAAATATTTAACAATTTTTAATAACATTCGACAAGTTTGGATTCGTCTCCGATACAAACACAAACACTACGTTGTTAGAAATTCTAGTCCAGGTCTGGCTATGTAGTTTAGTTACAATACATTGTATAAAATATCAAGATAATTTATGAATACATATCTATCAAGAAGATTATCGTGATGACGACGAACGATTTTCTAGAATACTGATTGAATTTCTTTTATTACAATAATAGACAGGATTGCCTACAAAAAGGATGTGAAGCCGTATTAAAATGTGAAAGATCTTGTCTTTGATCACCTCGCAATACTTGTTATTATTTATCTCTGTTTATTTAAATATCGCACATCTTGTAAAAATCGTTCTCAGATATCAAAAAGATTTCTTGTTCGATTATAGGTGTGTACTCCTATGTAGATGCCTACATCAAAATTTATTATAATCCTACCACGTAATTGTAAAAAATATGTATCTTATTTAAAAGAAAAATTACTAATCGTTCATAAGAAAGAAAGGAAATTCAAAGGAATAAAGTTTAAATTTGCTTCAGACTTAGATTTGGCAGATTAGAAAGCGATTTTTGTTGCTCATCTGTATAGGTACTACCTATCTAGAGTTACTGGATCGACGGGCTTAAATCTTGAAAGAAAATCAAACCGTTTTAAAACATTCTAGAGCCCAGTCCACTTTTTTAAAAATTCGTAAATAAGATTTTGTAAAAAATATAATTGTTAAAATGTTTACTCGTGAGTGGCGTAAATTCAAAATTAGGATATGATATTTATGGTATTACTGGAATATGTATATATACATATATGGTAAATTAATACTTTTTTATAAAAAAAAACCAACCTCAAAAGTTTGTAGAACATCTATTTGCCAAGTTTTATTGAAATTGCTTGGGTGTAATCCAATAAACCAAATTCATCCCCTAATTTGCCCTTAGATCTACAATATTTTCTTCGAACTTGGATGAAACCATTACTGAGGTATCTACCCCTTTTCCAACAAACAAAGAATCGTCGAAATTGGTTCACAAATGTCGGACTAATCGCGTAACATACGTACACACAAAAAAACGTTTAGATTTAAAATAGTAATTTGTAACTGTACTTCAGGAAAGGGCAAAATATTATTAGACATAACTGGTTGATGGCGAATACCATATCTGTCAGCCGTGACTAAGAGACCTGTAAAGAGCACGAGACGTTGCTTTGGTTATAAAAACAAACACGTGATTTAGATTCGAAAAAATAGTTTTATTTCGGAAAGACGAATGTTCAATCATGTTATTTTATTAAGGAGTAAAGGACCTATAGTGACCTGTAGTGGACCTTAGTTTTAAATATTTTTATTACACATACACTACGTATTTTTATTTAATAAACCAGATGCTATATAAATGACGCAAACAATTTTTTTCTTCATCGTATAAAGTTGTCAAAATTGAGATAGTACCGGTTGTTCACAGTCGGTATTGAAAGAAATCGAATTATAAATCCTGCCTTTTTAAGGAACAGTGTCAAATAGCATACATAGGTATATACGTACTTAAATAGTGGCTTTTTATTTTAAAAGTAAAGAACTAGTGATTTTTTACAAAATGGCAAAATTAAATTTAGTGATTTCGTCTCAAGGTTAATATGGCAAAATCAGTTAAATCTTTACTATAAATAAAGATTAATATGTCGTGCATTCTAATTCGAAATTTGTATTTTTGTACTATTGCGATTAGGTATCGAGTAAACTACAAACCAAATGCACATGCCAGGGGTCATTGACCTCGCTCTCTCCGCGTTCGATGCACCTCCCCGCTACGCATCGTCTCAAACGAACCTCGGCGCTCGAGCCCAAACTTCGCTGGACAAAGAAAAAAGAAATACATCAAAAAATAAACAAGCAATCGTTTATCTGAACGGATATTTTCTTGGACGTTGACTTCTGAGCCTTTATTGAGGTTAATAAACTGGAATTTTGATTTAGAATACCGAAATTAGTTCCTGGCTCCAATACTGAAGTATTGTAAAATCGAGTTAAATTTGCACTAAACACGCAATATTTTAAACAGCAGTTATGCATGCTCATATGAGCATTCTTATATTTGCCAATTAGTGGAATATCTGTCTAGAATACTAGACAACAACAACTGGCACATTGCCTGCACTTTAGTCATATTACAATTTAAACTTATTTGGTAGCATCATTCTCTTGGAAAGTTACCAAGGTACCTAAACCACACAAACATTTCCTAGATCACAGCACTGTGCGCATCAAAGAGACGAGACCGTTGAATTGGGTCTTGGGACAGAGAAACAAATATCGATCTATACTAGTTTAACTCGCCTTTCTAGAATCGAACGGTGCGCCCGCGCAAGTCGAGCTACGAACACTCTCACTCACCTGTCGTATTTGAAACCTGTCCGTGTATACATGCAATATGTAAATTATGAAAGTAGTCAACGTACATTTTTTTACAAAAGAAATTACATTATTGTATAGTTTTATAGAGACATTGAATGTGATATCAGTACATTATAAAAATATTAGTAAAATAATTGTAACTTTTTATAAAAAAAAGACTCGTGGAATTACATAATATATTCGCCAAGTTTTATTGAAATTGAGTACCGGAAAGTGCGCGAAACCGGATTCATCTACTTAGAGGTGGAATATTTTCTTCAAATTGAAATGGGACCATTACTGAGTTACCCTCTTTTCAACAAAAAAAGAATCATCAAAAACTGATTACAAATTATCGAGTTATCGCGTAACATACACACCAAAAAAAAGTAGAATTCAGAAACTCTTCCTTTTTTAAAAAAAAATCGGTTAAAAAGGGTATTTATCACATAAATACCATGTATGACAGATAGATTGCACGTAGCACAAAGGTTGCAGTCTTATAATACAGAGAAACTTTAATTGTTACCAATCTGTAGAACGAATTCCTTATCGTATTTCTAAAACGTGTCCACTGTAGAGGCCTAATTTATTACACGCCAACACAAAACACCCGTTTTAGCTAGGTGCTTTACTTCTTTACATTAAACATAATATTGTTGTAAATGGCCGGTATTATTGCAGCGAAACTATTTCCAATAACTTACAGAACTTTTTTCATACATGTAAAGTCTGATGCCACAATAACTTAGTAATTTTGCCGTTATCACTGCAAATTGGTGAAATAAACCTCGCATTATCTTAGTAATTTATAACATGCCTCTTTGCTTTATTTATCAGTGCTACGTCGGTCGTTGCCACTGGAGCAAATACAATGCTATAGTTAATCTTTTCATTCTAAAATTAACAATATCTTTTCAATGACATGCTCTGTTAAGTATTGTAAAGTTTCGAGATGAAATATGCCTTTCTACGGCAGATGACTATTATATTTAGAATCCATTACACAGCATACTAACTATTGGAAACAAAGACGCCTACGAAACACCAACAGCGCATGTGGCATTTAACGCGGATAGAACTTCCATATCTAGATCACAACGTTCTGCAACATTCAAAACAGAGAGACAAGTCGACAAGCTCGGTGATGCGGCTACGCAATGCGCTTCGGTTATAAATAGAAGGCGTATCTTTGAACTGCACTGCTCTCCCACCGAGCGAGAAACGCCGGAACGTCTACGTAACTGCGTGGAAATATAGAATATTTTGTTTAGTTTACCTACGTTGTGTGAGCACTGGTTTCTCTCTCGGTACTTGATGTGTAGATAATAGTTTGACGTTTAACAGTGAACGAACCTAGCAAAATACTCCATCGTTGGGAATACGGTTCAGACAATAAATAAAAGATACATTATCATAAAATATTTACTCTACAAATAGAATGTCTCAAACAACTTAACGTAAAATAAATTGACGTAAAAGCTCTCTTCAGTGTATTTGAATAATATATTATGCAAAAAATCTAACGTTTCTACATTATGTCTATACTTACTAGACGCAGAAATGTATTACCGTTGCCTTGATTGGATGTTGCGTTTTCACCAATGTAACACTATACATATTATTATCCCTTAGACAGTTAACAAAGTTTGAAAATAATGATCCAATGAAGAGGA